AGTTAAGACACATGACCCCAAACATCACCAGCAGCCACAGCCATTTGCACAGGCCCTGGTGGACAGGGTACCTTGGAATCTGAGGAGGATACAGAGTCCAGGAGGAGCAAAAGTGTCACAGACTGAATCATTCAAAAGCAGCAAAGAAACAAGGGGCCGGCAGGAAAGTCCTCGCTACTAGCAGGGATGGGCCATGTGATTCAAACAGGTGTTTCCAGTGACGGGTGCTGCCCTCTGTCTAATGATGAATGAGCCGCGGCAATAATCTCAGAATGCATGCAGATTGCTCCATGGTCACGTTTCACAACCAGCTTGTGGCATTGGGGAAAGGAAGGTGCATTATTTAAGGTTGTGTAATTGGGACAACTTCACCTTTGTAGGATGGTTTCCAGCTCATGAAACAGGCTCTGGATTTCAGCCTCACACAGCATCTTTTATATGGGACTATGCCTGGACCTCAAGAGGGACACTCTCAAGGGAAGGCCTGAATGTGTCTCTGCTCCAGTTAAAAATCTTCAGAGGCTCTTATTATAGAAAGACTGAGCTCCTTGATGGGGTCTCTACCTACCCACATTGTCAAGGCTATGTGCTCTACTCCTTCCCCACTTCCTTTCCCAGTGCCTGCCTTCACACTGCTCAGCTTTCAGTTCCACATCAGGGCCTTTGCTTGGCTATCTCCTTCTGCTTCCAGGTATTGGCTTTAAGTTGTTCCCTCAGTAGCCTTCCTGGCCCGCTTAGCTCATCAGGGTCTTCCATCCTCTTATTCTATTTTATGGCACCCAGGTCTCCTGCTGCCTGCCATGTATCATAATGTATCATTGTGTGTGTGTGTGTGTGTGTGTGTGTGTGTGTGTGTGTGTTTCCTCCTGATGTCTTGTCTCCCTGCGGGGCGGCTGGGTTGGGGGAAGGTGTAGGGACACCTCGATATGTCTTGCTGACCAGGACAGGTTGGGCATGGTGCGGGTGCTCACTAAGTCATTGTTGAATACAAGATGTAATTCGCTGACTTCAGAACCCAGGTTCTTGCTGGCATGGTGATAAGCACCTGTAATCCCAGCTATTAGAGAGGTGGAGACAGGAGGATTGCAGGTTCAAGGCCAGCCTGGGCAATTTAGTGAGATCTTGTCTCAAAATATAAAAAGACCTGGGGTGTAGCTCAGTGGTGGAACACCCCTCTGGGTTCAATCCCCATACTGGAAAACAAAATGAGCCCAAGTTTTCCACCACCACATAGGTGCTGAGCCAGAGGAACTCAGCTTCCCTGAGTAAGGAGAGGGAACCTGCCACACACACCACAAAAGGCAGCAGTGACAACAGCCACAACAGTGCCTCCTTTTATGGAGCTCTCATCGCCAATTCTGGCCCTAACTTCCTGATTCAGGAGTAGAGCATAGAGCAGACTTCTCACCGTCGGCCCTACTGACATCTTGGATCTGGAATGTCCTCAAAGGTCCATGTGTTAAAGCTTAGTCCTTAGCTTGCAGCTGTTAGTAGGTGGTGGAAACTTTAGGAGGTGAGGTCTGATGGGAGGCTGTAGTCACTGGGGCTGTGCCCTCAAAAGGAACTGTAGGATCAATCACTTCCTCTCTCTTCTTTGCACCTCAGTGAGGAGATGAGCAGCTTTGTTCCACTACTTGCTCCTACCATGAGGTGCTGCTTCACCACAGGCTCAAAAATAAATAAATAAATAAAGTCAACTGACCATGAGCTCAAAGCTATAAGATAAAACAAACCTTTTCTTTTTTATAAGTTGATTATCTAAGGGGTTTGTTATAATAATGGAAAACTGACTAACACAGGGCCAGATCATTCTCTGTTGTAGGGGGTTGTTCTGTGTCTCATCTGTGCATATTTAGCAGCATCCTAGGTCTCTACTCTCTAGTTGCCTAGTTGGACAAACAAAACTGTCTTCAACATGGCCAAATGTGAGCCCAGGACAGGAGGGCTCACTCTATATTGAGTGTTCTGAGTATTCAACCTTGAAAAAATCACAAATCTCTCTGGGCCCACATCCTCACCTTTAAGATGAGGATAATAAAGCCTCTTATATTGGAGCTGCGAATATTTAGTGAGTTGATAATGAAAGGGCAGATTCAGCACAGTGGTCTTTAGGGGAACTCAGTCAGGTGGATCGTCTGTCTTCAGAATTAACTGTGCTATCCTCATCTTACAGATGAAGACACTGAGACTTGGAGATAAAGATGTCAGTCTGGCTGATGGCTGTGAAGTGACCTCAAAGACAGGGGCATTTGGTTGGGTTTTCAGAACTAATTTATTTTCCCAGGCTTTGGGGTGCATATAACTTCAGACCTTATTGGACCAACTACAAGCTCTGAGGTGGTATTGTTGCAATGAATGAATGAATCCTTAGATCTGCCAGGACAGAACTAGAACACTGACCTCAAGCAGCAAACTTAAGGGAGTGTCAAACAAATCAGTCAAGATCAATAATCTAATTTTGTAGGGAAAAAAAATCAATGCAGAAAAAAAAAATCCATGACGAATAGAGTATTTACATGTTTAAAGACACCATCCAATCCTGCCCTTGCACTTGACCTTGTTCCTGTCCCGGGGATCTGCAGATCTGTGGCACCTCTCAGCCAGTGTCCAAGCTTGCTGCGGCCAATCAGAGCAGGAAGCGGGAGAGACAGCGCTCTCTTCTGGCTGATGAGGAGCGCCGCTCCTCTGCTCGGAGCGAGGCTGGCCTTTCTTGTCCCCGAATACAGCGCTACAGCACTTCTGACCCTTCATGAGACAGCTAGGTCAAAAGGGCGCCGGCAGATCAAACGATGTCACTGGAGCCCCCGCCCCATCTCTTTCCATTGGCTGCACCACTCTGGATCCACTGCCTACCTGTCTTTGCACGCACGCACGCGCAGGACGCACCACTTTCCGTGGCGATCCTAAAGCAGCCTGTTCGTATCAGGCTGACCACAAGAGGGCGCAGTGAGGAGACGCGGCCTAGAGTCGGGGGCGCTCCTTACAGCAGCTGTCTGGTGGCCCAATGCAGGTCAGTTTCTTATTCTCCTAAGAGTCTAACAGTTTCTTAGCTTCACTTTACTTTTTTAAATTTTTATTTTGAAATAATCTAAAGTGTGCATAAAAATGGGAAAAATAGTACAAAGAACTCCTACATACCCCCTTACCCAGATTCCAGGGGACATTCGCCACCTTGCTTTGTCACTAGCTTGCTCTGCGTATTTTTCTCATTCGGGAATAAGTTGTAGACATTGTGACTCTTTACCTGTAAACACTTCAGGCTGTATTTCTCAAGAACAAGTATATTTTTTTTTACATAACCACTAGACAGGGATCCAAACCAGAAGATTGAGCCATGATTTAAAATCATTATCAAAGCTATAAATCTTATTCCAGATTTCCCAACTGTTTTAATCATGTCTTATCAATTTTTTTATTATTTCTGGTCCAGGATCCAATCCAAGATTGCATATTGATTTAGCAGACTCTGGCTCTCTATTAATTGGAACATTTCTCTGTTATCTCTTTGATCTTTCATGACTTTGACATTTTTGGACTGTACACACCATTGATTTAGCTGAATCTAACTCCATCTGACTTTGTCTGAGGTTCCTCATGATTGGATTCAACGGATGTATTTAGGGCAGGAACACTGCTTATAAGATGTATCTTGAAGAAAATCTTGTTTTATGGTGGGGTACCAGGGATTGAACCCCGGGGTGTTCAACCACTGAGTCATATCCCCTACCCATTTTTTGTTTTTCATTTTTAGACAGGGTCTCATTAAGTTGCTTAGGACCTCTCTAAGTTTTTGAGGCTGGGTTTGAACTTGTGATCCTCCTGCTTCGGTCTCCCAAGCCGCTGGGATTACAGGTGTGCTCTACCACACTGGGCAGGAATTTCTTAAGTAAGCATCTTCTGTCCTTGCCAGAGCATCTGGGTGACTCTGAGTCACAGGAAGCTGATTCAGACTTGAAAGCTGTTAATTAAACTAGCTGACAGTTAATGAGTGCTTGTATTTGACACTCTGTTTGATGACTTGGGGGATATTTTCCCCTAGGAACAATGCCGTGTGGTGTGCTTCTGTTAGATCACCACATTATAGAACAATAATGATGACTGAGTCATATTAGGCACCACATCCCATATTCTTTTAGATGCACTAGGTCCTTTAAGCCTGAGTACTATACATATATATATATATATATATATTTTTTTTTTTTTTTTTTGGTACCAGGGATTGAACTCAGGGGCCCTCAAACACTGAGCCACA